AAAAAAAACCTAAAACAAACTCCCTATGTTGCAGCCAGTATTGGTTTTGTTTTAGGTTTTGTGTTTTGTTAATACTGGGCGAGATAGGGAGTTTGTTTCAAGTGAAAAAAACCTGACTTCACGCTGATTCATTCTACTGTCTCTGCATTGTGGTGAATAAAGACTTTTGCGATCACAACCGGCTTTGCCTCCTACCTATTACTCCTGGGGACATATCAACCGTGCAACCTGTGCATGTTTCAACCCTGCCTGCGTATGGGTATGACTATGTTACCGTCACCTATGACTAAGTATTTCAGACGGAATCCAAAACGTCAGGAAAATAAAATTATTGCTCCAGTGATCGCATCATCTTCTTCTGAACTTCCTCCTAGAACTCGCATATTCTCCACTATTGCCGAACAGACTATTGTCACTTAAGAATTATTAAGGCTGTGTTCTGGAGACAGCGGCTAACACGCGAGCCCGTTCGGTCATGTTGACTGTCTTGCCACCAGTTCAAACGGTTCGAGGGTTTAGAGAGGTGTAGACGGCTGCGCTTCTATTTCACTGAAACGTTGCCTCTGTTCTCAGTCACCGTCCCTGCTCCTGAGCACATGGTGGACTTAATATAAATCAGTGGTCGAACGATTATCCTTCCACTCCTCCTCCTCCTCTTCATCATCATCCTGACGTTTTTTACCAGATTAATTCCTTACCGTTGTTAAGTTTACGTTTAAGTTAGCATCCCTAATATCGCAATTTCTAATATCCATCGAAATCCTTCATTGTAATTTTTTGATGTTATTTACCATACTGGCAATACGGACACTTGTTAAATACCGAGACATGTGTTTCGCCGTTATTCTGACGCTGCTTGTTACAGCTGCGAAGTGTCCGACACAAGGGGTTTTACGGCGTCAAAAAGGTGCTTTATCAGTTAGCCTATTATTATTGCTTTTAGTCATTCCCCCAGCCTCCTATTTGCTTTCTGGTTGATACACCAGATTTGAAGTTTCAGTTTTTTCAATTTCCTTGGAAATTAATTACCGTGCTCGGTATGGGCTAGATTATTCAAGCGCTATAGACATAGACCGAAATTTGTGGGCCGAATTCGGTCAACCACTGTGGGATGACCGCAAACTATCCAGATGCTGCCAACGGGCACAAAATACTATTATTATATGTTATAAGTCAACATACTGGCTCAATGGAGGGTGAGCACTCTAAAAATAGAAAAAAAACCTGATTGATTTTTACTCCGGGCGCATGTGGATTATTATCGTCTATGGTTACTTGAGGTTGTGATAGTCACCAAAAACCATAAACAAACATACTTATAAAGCAATTTAAAGCACAACAACGCCTAAATACATTTTCGAAAGTTCGATGGTGGTGTTGCGTTGATAAAAAATGTATAAATCTGCAGCAGAAGGGAAGGGCCTGTGATGTTGGAATAAATCGGGACCCTCATTGTGAACAGAAAGGTCTAAGCATGAAATATTCAATAATCAAATACTTAAGTGGGTGGAGTATACATATTGCTTGGACGTTAATCCTTTGTTTGCGAAAAACCAAGTTGGAGGACGTAAAATTCAAAAGGTTAGCACATGTGCCAATGAGAAATTGCGCGTTCGGCACGTGAATCCGGTTGTGCACCAAAAGCTTTCAAAAGCCTGGGTGGTCAAAAATTCGAATGGTATCATATTAGCAAGCGTACTGTCACTATCGATGGTGCCTCCTAAAATACGCCTTAGAAGATTATAATTTAAGTTTTAGCCTTAGCAATTAGAGATGGAACGTAACGCTGGAGAAGTGCGTCCAAATTTTCGAATTTCATGACTCACTGCGAACATTTGCTATCGTCCGATTTCTCTATTCCGCACACAGACTCTTCGGCCTAAATTAGGTGCATGAAGAATCACGATAATTTATTCTATAAATTTCTTTTTCACCGGAATTTTTCGAGATTTCGGTATGGGCTATGGCAGTTGATTAGTTCAAGTATCTCCCCTTCTTTTACCTTAAATTTTAATTTTCTATAGGTTGTTTACTTAACTGACTAGGCTCATTTAGATATGTTTGAAAAGCAAACGTTAAAACATAATGTTTAAATATTTTCCTCAAAATTGTGATTTGTGTTTGAATAATTTAGATGTAAATATTCCGAAGGTCATTATTCCCCTAAATCTGGCCAATTAGTTCCGATGCATCACGGAAACACAACGAGAACATTAAGTAGATCAAAACTTGTATAAATCAAGAACATTACAGAAAGTGAAATGAATCGGCGCGTTTTCATCGCAGTTTCTCTTTTATCTATTGGAGATGCTTATTTTACTCCGCAGTTCCAATGTAAGTTAAGATGTATATTTTGCAATCCAGGCAACATGTTTAAAATAAGTAAAACGTGCGTTGAAGGTTAAAAGCTACAACCATCAAATAAACTTTATAAATTCTTAATGGCCTATGAAAACGCCAACCTTATAATTTTGTAGTATGGATTTTAACGATATGTCCAAATTAATTAATATTTACAGTCACTTTTACGATTTTGCATCTTCACAGATATTTACCTCAAAAGAGAAATCAACCGTCACCAACAAAGTACAATAAAGACTGTCACTGATAAGTCTCATCTTTCCGTCACGCATAATTGAAGTTAAACTTCTGCAAAACACAGTCTTTTAACAAGGCGTCCTAAACTTTTGCTGGTTATAAATGTCTTGTGTACGTAAAAACTATTATGAATGCACCACGTGTTTATAAATTCGCGTGCTTGTATACAAACTTTTAGAAAAATGAAAGGCATATACGCATAGACGAACCGAACAATTACTAATAAAAATAGCCAAGCTAACAATTATCCAATCGTGCGATCAATACATTTTCTCGGTACAGTTGCTTCCCAAATCTGAATGTTGCAACATAACCGCAGTAATTAGATCAGAACTGGCAACATTTTCTCTGTGGATTCATAATGGGTCTGCCTACCGACATGTTTACTCAAACCGCCGATTTTAGAAGAAAAGTCTTGTATATTATTACATATATACAAACTTGTTCAATCAAGCCATGCCTCTCTCATGCTACCTTAGTCAAAGCAAACACTGACTTTACATATTTACCAATATTTAAAGAAGAACTGCCTTTTTACCTTTTTGGATTGAGAATGTTAAGAGCTTTCTGTAGGCGACTTTTAGAATTAAAATACCTGCAAACAAGACTAAGATTGATCGCGTGTGCTTTTCGACATCTACAGTAAAACTTGTCCTCCTTACTCTTTGCCTTAATGTTTGTAGATGCTTTAATCATTTCTAATATTTCTTACTTCCACAAAATATTCATAACGAGCAAACACAAAGGACACACTCCTTTGCAGAACTTGCACTTCGTGATGTAGCAATTTTGGTAACAACTATTCTTGCAACTTGAAATATCCGATTTACGAAGATATATGAAGATCTCATGCCAATGGAGCATTAATAGTAGCAATTCATTTACGTAGAAGTAACTGCATAGCTGCTGCATTGGTTTTTTTATGAAGCAATCATATATGGTAAAAAGAGTTATAAGAGAGTGATGAAATCCAAGCTCAAACGCAAAGGGATCAATTTATGATTAAGTAAGTCAAAAAGTACGAAAGGGACATTGAGTTCTGACACTTGGGACCTGATATAAACGGCCCTTACCAAATGATATGCTATCCGTATATGGGATTTAATAGAAGCGAACGATAACTTTGGAGCTAGTATATTGGTTTCCATAATCCGCCTTACAATCAAATAATGGCCAACTTATTACGCCTTTTAATCTGGGTTTCCTACAAATCTAGCCCTCACTGAAACCCGTGGTCATTTTAACTTATAAAAATCACTAGCTATTTGTGTTCGGACTTCGAATTATGATTATGATTTTTGAAAAGCAATTTGCACAGTCGTAGCACACCAATAGGAAAGTATTCTAAAATTATAATGCCCTCATCTTCGCAAAACTTTGACGAGTTGATTCTAAGTTTAGAGTATACTTAAATTTGTGGAAATTTCCTTTTAACAAACAAATTCGGTAATATTTCCCAAAGGAGCACAATGCAGATTTAAAAGAATTAAACCTCATTAAATATTTTGTTGTTTAATAAGTCAAATTGAGTTACAAAATATGAATTAATACGAGGGCATTGACTTTTTATTTTGTCAATCATGAAGCTTTTTTAAAAGATCTTTTGTCTCTTGGCATTATTAGTCAAATACGTTACCAATTAGTGCAAAAAAAACAGCAATTGAATCGATCAAAGTCGCTTTCTTATTCACTCGCATTTATGTAGTTAGCACTATACACTG